AAAACCAACGACAACTATACCTCCATCATAGATTAATAAATCAAACGAAATGGTGCTCAATCCCACAATATACACGGTCAAACATCACACTATATCACTCATAATGCATGAAAATAATGATGAACATCAGATAGTGAATTAGAAAATTGGAGAAAACGATTCTTTTGTCGACAAATAGAATCAAGAAGATCACTTTGTTTTATATTTTCTTTAGGTTTGTGAGACATTCAAAATGATAAAAATTGTGTTTACGTTCTATTATTCGCAATTTTGGATTATGAAAATTGGGATTAATAAATAATATTTATCACATTGATTTAAAAAAATGTTTTATGAGTATGAATTAATATATATTTTGGGTATTTTGTTACCTTTAAATCGAATGAAAATATCTTTCGCACCATAAAAATGGGAGTTTCATATCCCCTATATATAATCTATATATATATTAAAAGCCAACCTATTTACCAAAAATAGTAGCAAAAAAGGTCTAACACACATTTAATGCATACCTTATGTAGAATTTTTTTTTACTATATGCATTAAATGCTTGCATATATACATTTACTATCCAGATATGATCCTAATAATTTTTTTCTTTAAATAATTTTATTAATTTATGCAATGATTTTACTGATATCCATTATAATTAATATTTGTCGTGTAATATTTTTTAACCTTTATTTAATTATATAAAACTAATATTTTTAAAAATTAATATTATTTACCATTTAAAAGATAATGATCACATCATTAAATGATCTATATATATATAATTGCTGGCTAATAACATTTAATAAAAATTTAATAAAACCCCATTTCGATTTCCCTCCAAAAACCGTTACAAATTTTATCATTTATATCTCTCTCTCTATATTTAATTACTAATAATAAATTTAAAAATATTGATTATTGTTTACCATCTTTTTATGTTACAATCTTTTATTATTATTATTATTATTATTATTATTATTATTATTATTATTATTATTATTATTATTATTATTATTATTATCTGTATATATAATAATATCTGTATATATATATAATATATATATATTACTGCAAGCTTAACAATAAATCTATATATATAATTGCTAGCTAATCATTAAATAAAACCTCATAAATAAAATTTAATTAATAAAACTTCATTTATTTTTCCTCCAAAAGAAATTACAAAATTTGTCATTCATATTTTACCTTCACATTAATACACCCTATTAAGTGTAATCATGTAAAAAATTAATAACATTAACTATTATTAATATAATAGCAAAAAAATAGCATTAACTACTATAATAATAATAATAATAATAATAATAATAATAATAATAATAATAATAATAATTTCTTGAAACAATAAATTTGTTTATACTTATGTAATATATTTAGTGTGAAATATTATGAGTTGGTAATAGCATTAACTATTATATAATATAATAGCAAAAAAATACATGATTATACTTAATAGGGTGTATTAATGTGAAAGGCAAAATATGAATGACAAATTTTGTAACTTCTTTTGGAGAGAAAATAAATGAGGTTTTATTAATTAGGTTTTATAAATACATGATTACACTTAATTAGGTTTTATGAATGATACTGTTATTATTATTATTTTAATTTTGTATTTCATGAAACAATTTTCTTTAGAAACAATTAGTAAATAGTTTTAATAGTATAGGAAAAAACTTTAAAATCTTATAAACAATTGTCGTTGTAATAAGAATAGTAATAATAATAATAATAAT